GGCGAGAGAGCCGCCGCTCCTCCGGCCTCCGCCTCAGGCCCAGCCTCGGCTACACGCAGTAGTGACCCATCGTAAGCAAGAATGACCTTTGGTGCGCGGCTGAACGTGGGACGAGGAGGAGGAGGAGGAGGAGGAGGAGGAGGAGGAGGAGGAGAGAAGGAGGAGGAGGAGGAGAAGGAGGAGGAGGAGGAGGAGGAGGAGGACGGGAGGGAAGACGGGGGATGCGGGGTGGCCAAGCCTGGGCGCGCAGGCCGCTGCTACCGCCTCGCTGTCGGCCATCGGGGGGCCCCCATGGACCCGCACCAATGGCCACTCCTGCGAAGGGTCACTCTTACGTCTAGTCGACCCTTGTCGGCCGCAGCCGGCCCCGCGGAGTGTGGGACGATGGCCCCGCGATGACGATGACAACGATGAGTCTCCCTAAGACGAAGCCAGGACGAGGATACCTTCGGGTGAGGTGAAAATCGAGAATCTCTGAGATTCGGCGGCTCTGGAGGATGTCTCGGGCGCCGCGGCCTTCTCAGAGCGTTCCAGAACGCTCTGTGAGCGTTCCGGAACGCTCTGACACGGATTTATCCTCGTCCTGGCCCCGTCCGACGCTTCCCCGCCTCCGCCTCAGGCCAGTCGGCTGCAGCCCGCCACGCGGGGTTCGGAGCGATGGCCCCGCGATGACGACGACAACGATGAATCCCCCCGCCTTGGTGATGGGGGGGGGCAGACAGGCGCTTGAGCCGGCCAGGCGGCAAGACGCTGATGCGATGGGGTGCCGGGCCGGGCCTGCCAGATCAGAGATTGGCTCGGCCATTGCTTAGCCGATGGCCTGAGTGGGCACTCAGCCGGGGGGCCAAGGCAAGGGGATAGATATGATGACGACTCCGCGGAGTTGTCCGTGAGACTGCCTTTCGGCGCTAGCGAGGGTGTTCTGTATGGCATGGCTCGCAGACGTTTCCGGCCGCCACCTCCCCCACCCCCACGCCCCAACAGAACCCTTCGACTATCAAGAGAGGTAAAAAGAGGGGAAGGTAGTGAATGAGTGTGTGTGTGTGTGTCTTCACTCGCTTGGGTGCTGAGGGGCCAGAGCGGCGACTGAGAAGGAGGAGGAGGAGGAGGAGGAGGAGGAGGAGGAGGAGCCTCGAGGATCGAGTTCTATGGATGCTGTTAGCCATGTTTTTTGAGGGGCTCCTGAACGTCTCCTCCGTGGATCCTGGAGAGCTCCTGGGAGCTCCTGGGAGACCTCCACGAGACCTCCGGAGAGGCACGGATGAGGACGACAAACGCGAGGACGACCGCGACGTACGCCCGAGGGAGCAACACTCGTCTCAAAGTGAAGAGAAGGAGGAGGCGGAAAAGGCGGAGGAGTCGAACGGTGGCATACGCAATGTGCAGGGCTCAGATAACGCCAACAACTCGTATCCCTTACCGATGCAGAACAGAAAGCCGATGAAAGACGAGCTTAACGAAAGAGGGTGCGCCACGCCTCCTGACCCCTAGAGCCTAGAGGGCTGAAGGAAAAGGAGAGGAAGGCGGAGGAGGAGGAGGAGGAGGAGGAGGAGGAGAAGGAGGGGGGATACGAGGGGGATAATAAAAATAATGATATTAAGAATAATAATAATACAATAATGAAAATAATAATAATAAATAATAATAAATATAATAATAATAACAATCATAATAATAATACTACTACTAATAACAATAATAATAATATGATTATACTAATAATACTAACAATAATAATAGTAATATTATTAATAATAATAATAATAACAAGAAGGGAGGAGGAGGAGAAGGAGGATGAGGAGGAGAAGGAGGAGGAGGGGGAGGCGAGGGGGGATACGAGGAGGAGGAGGGGGAGCAGGAGGAGGACGAGGAGGAGGAGGAGGAGAAGGAGAAGACAGAGGAGGAGGAGGAGGAGGATCAGGAGGAGGAGAAGGAGGAGGAGAAGGAGGCGGATGGGCTCTGCCCCACGAGCTGCGAGGCTCCTCCTCGGCGTTGGCCCCAGAGCTCCGGGCACGGGCCTGCCGGCGCCCCTCCTGCGGGTGGGATCAGGCGACAAGAGAACCGCACGTGCGAGGAGGACTGTTTTCGGGGCTTTGACCTCTGAGCCTTCCTGGCCCCTCACGGGGGCCAGCCTCGACCGTTCGGCCCGAACGGGCTCAGCGCTCGCCGGGACCCTTCCTTCGCGGGCAGCCGATCCGATCCTCCTCCTCGTCCTCCTCCTCCTTCTCCAACTCCTCCTCCTCCTCCTCCTCCTCCTCCTCCTCCTCCTCCTCCTCCTCCTCCTCCTCCTCCTCTCCCTCCCTCCCTACCTCCCTCGCCGGCCCCAGTCTGGGGGCACTTTCGCTGTCCATCCTTCATATCACAAGAAAACACGCCATGAGCATAAACATGTGGCGCTCCGCGCGGACTTTTTGGATCTGCGCTGGAGCCCCCCCCTTAGCGCTCGGAGCGCACCAGGGGCGGCGCCGGAGGCACCGCCGGGGGGGCCCCGCGTGGATCCAAGAATCCGCGCGGAGCGCCAAAAGTTTATGTGTATGACGTTTTTCTTCTTCCTCTTCGACTTACGCATCCCAAGGTGCCCCATGACATGATGTGCGGTATCCTGGGGCCTTCGGGAATCGACGAGCTTCCACGGGGCCTCTGCTGACAAGGCTGGTGTCCTGTCTGGTGTGCCTCAGGTGTGCCAGGCGCCCAGCTCGCGGGCGTGTGGCCTTGCAGGCGGCAGGCGGCTTGGGACGAAGACGGGTCTGGCGGGATCTAGACTTAGGTCGGGCATGGCCCCCTACAGGCGGATTTTGGAAGGACGCATAACAATCATCCAACCAATATCAAAAATAGTCAAAAGAGCACAAACTATCGTCACCAGACTAATGTTTTACTATTCTTGGACATTCCTCCTGTAGGGGGACATTCCCGACTGAGATTTAGGACTAAGATGAGGAGTTAGAGGCGAAGACACGGCATGAACACACACTTTCGGAGATCAGCGCGGCTTTCTTGGATGTGCGATGGGATCCCTTCCCTGGCGCGTGCAGCGCGCCAGGGGCGGCGCCGGAGGCGCCGCCAGCTGGGGCCCAACGCAGATCAGCTCAGAAAGTGTATGGCTATGCTGCCGTGTCTTCTTCGAGGAGTGTTCGGACACTCTCCCTGGACAGCGCTCGGGCGTCCTTATTCCCCGTGCATTATTCGGCTTCGTGTATGCACTCTTCGCAGGATGAACCAAGATGCTCACCGATGGTCCCCGCCGAGAAAAACATCTCACGTCCAGGAGCGAGGCCGCCCCTGCTTCTTCGAGGAATGCTCCGGCACTCTCCTTGCGGCCAGCGCCGGCTGCGCCTGGCCCGACGGTGTCCTGAGCGCAGCTCACGACTCTCGGCACTCTGCCGCGGGTGGCCGAGGCTCATCAAGACGCGGCAGGTCCCGCAGGAAAGCGCGTGGCGCACCCCCTGCTGTGGTGCACATGCGCGTGCGCGTGGGGGGTACGCTCGACGTCGGCCTCCCGGAAAGAGAGACGATGGAGAGGAGGAGGAGGAGGAGGAGGAGGAGGAGGAGGAAGAAGACAAGCTAGGTGCGCTCGCGTCATATCTGACGTCCTACCCCTCCCTCCCATCCCTTACCATGGCGCTGATTTTCTCTATCCGCGGACGCGTGTCGTAGCGGACCTGTGGCTCCGCGCGCGCGTGCGTAGTGGGTGGTGGTGCGCGTGCGTGCGTGCGTGCGTGTGTGCGTGGTTGTGTGTGGTGGTGGTGGTGGTGGTGGTGGTGGTGGTGGTGGTTGGTGGTGGTGGTGGTGGTGGTGCTGGTGGTGGTGGTGGTGGTGGTGGTGGTGGTGGTGGTGGTGGTGGTGGTGGTGGTGGTGGTGGTGGTGGTGCGGCGCGGTGGTGGCGGGCGGATGGGCGCGCGAGAAAGAGGCCCGCGCTGGGGCGAGAACGCCATCCTGAACGACGGAGGCCAAACACCGATCCGAAAATGAGGCCCACGCTGCAGCGGGAGCACGATTCGGAACGATTCGGGAGCAGAAATGAGGCCGGCGCCTCAGCGAGAGCATCATTTTAGAAAAAAACGCAGGCGAAAACCCGTTTCCTGGGAATCTTGTGTGTTAAAAAACAATACGCGGGGGGCGTTCGGCCCGAAAATGACGCCGGCGCCTCAGCGAGAGTCGTTTCCCGGGATTTCCCGGGCATCCTGTGTGTAAAAAAACAGCACGCGGAGAATGCGCGGCCATCACCCGGACGCCATCAGGGGAAGAGGGGGAGTATTTTCATATTGAGTAATTGTGGAGGAGAAGGAGGGAGATGAGGAGGGGGAGGTGGGGGAGAGGAAGGAGAAGGAGAAGGAGGAGGAGGAGGAGGAGGAGGAGGAGGAGGAGGAGGAAGGGGGAGGAGGGGAGGAGGAGGAGGAGGAGGAGAAAGAGGAGGGGGAGAAGGAGGAGGAGGAGGAGGAGGAGGAGGAGGAGCAGGGGTAATGAAGGGCGGGAGAGGAGGAGGAGGCGGAGGAGGAGGAGAAGGAGGAGGAGGAGGAGGATCAGGAGAAGAGGAGGGAGGAGGAGGAGGAGGAGACGAGCGTACAGGGGGAGGAGGAGGAGGAGGAGGAGGAGGAGGAGGAGGAGGAGGAGGAGGAGGAGGAGGAGGAGGAGGAGAAGAAGGAGAAAAACGAGGAGGAGAAGAACTGTGCGTGCTCGACGCCGGCGGCGCCCGGAAACGTGTCAGCGGGGCACGCGAGGGCAGCGCGGGACGCTCTCGGGCCTCAGACCTTGGCCGAGCTCAGCGCGCGCCGCTCGCCGCGGGGCTCTACGGCCCGGGCGCCCTGGAGACGGGGCGGAGCTCGGGCTCCGCCCGCGTGTCTTGCGGACGCCCGGGGGCCGTGCTCCGAGCCCGCCCCGTGAGGCCCGAGCCGAAGCGGCGGGGCGCGTCGTCAGAGAGATCGTTGGGCCGCCCTCGGCAAGCCACGCCCGCGGAGCCACCTCGGAGGTGGCGCCGACGCCTCTCCCGAGGACTCGTCTCACTCTCGCATCGCGAACACTGCCGGCCGTCTTTTCACCGCGCGCCTGGGGCTGATCCCAAGCTCGTGGGAGCTCCTGCGCTCGTCATTCTTTAGATTCTCCAGCTCCGCGGCTCGGATGCTGGTGCTGGTCACGATGTCGTGGAAATTGATCGCGAGGAGGCGCTCCATGAGGCAGAGGAACTCAGGGAAGTCGGTGCTACCGGGCAAGTGGGCCGCGAGCCGGAAGTAGTGCGATGGCTTCTGGGGCAGCCGCTTGTTCAGAGTCTCACGGGGCCCCATGGCAGCCGTCTCCGCGTCGAGCGCCAACACGACCTCCTCCCAGAGCGCGTAGAGTTCGGCGACGTGGGCTGCCTTGAGGGGCGTCAAGTCGTGGACCATCCCCACGACCTGATTGACCAACAAAGGGCCCCTAACCCGTTGGGAGAGGACCTAAGCTAGGCGGGCCAGAAAAATTGGGATAAGGGGTTGTTTTCGCAGGTGCATCGAGCCAAGCCGCCAAAAATTATGATCCCTAATGCGAGGACGGGGACCTCAGTGAGGCTACGTCTTCATCGTGCTGTTAGGGTTAGGTTGGGCATGTACTCCTACAGGAGGGTCTCGGACGAACAATTAGCAATGGACCAAAATACACGAACACAGTCAAACAAAGTCCCGAACTCATCCCCAGACTATTTGTTTGACTATCTTTGAAGAGTCCTCCTGTAGAGGGACAGGCCCGACGTCATATCAGTCCCAGGGGTTCTCCTCTGTCCTCGAGGGGGGGCCTGCTCGAAGGGCAGGAGGCCCGCCCCCTCGCCGTCGCACCGCGCGAAGATGGCCCGGAACTCCCGCACCTCCTGCGCCGCAAACCCGCAGGCGGCCTCGGCGCACCGCAGCTTGTGGTGGTACCTCGCGTCGGCGTCCTCTCGGGACGACGTACGGCTCGGGTTCGAGGGGGACTCGGGGTCGGCACGACGGGGCCATCGTGCAAACGACGAGACCCCATGTGGAACTTCACGCGGGCTCCCGCTGCAGACACACCACGGACATTGGACCGACAAAATCCGGGACGTGCTCGTCAAAAAGCGTCGGTCAACCCGATTTCCGGCGCACTCGAGTCTTGCGTTTCTCCGATCCTCGTGGGCTGCGCTCATCATCTTCAAGAACTCATGCACGTCCATGCCTGAGGGGCGACGATAGGGGCGGGCTGGCATGGGGGGGAACATCGACATGGAATCGGCGATACATCGCCGATAGATCGGCGATAGGCCCTCGACAGTGAATCCACACGTTCCTTGGCAGGTTGGGGCCATCGGGCCCCTATCGGCGATCCATGGGTGATTGGGGGTCCATGCTTCCCGCCCTATGCCCTGTCCCCCCTAGCGTTGCCCCTGAATGCCGGGGTCGGCCGCAGCCGGCACGAACGCGAGCAGCCTCTCGCCGACGTCCCGCAGGTCCACGCCGCGGAAGAGGGCCGGGGCGTAGTCCTCGCCCAGGAGGCCGAGGAGCACGTCGGGCCGCAGGAGGGAAGGCACCAGCCTTCGTTCGCCGTCGCCCGCGGGGACGACCTTCTTGGAAGCGCACTGGTCGAAAATCACCTAGAGAAGAGGAGAGAACGCCACAAATATACACTTTTGGCGCTCCGCGCGGACTTCTTGGATCCGCGCTGGGTTCTCCGGCGGCGCCTCAGAAGTTTACGTCTGTGGCGTGTTTCCCTCTCCGATCGCCGTCCATCTCTTCACCTCCTCGGGGGTGAAGCCGTGAACCTTCCTCCGGCAGGCCCGCTCCTCGGAGCGAAGGTGGCGCAGGACTCGGGTCAGGTTGACCCAGTCCAGCCGCTGCTCCACCTTCACGCTGTGCCAGAAGGACCGCGGACCCGAATACGTTGGCGCGCTGAGCTCCGGCTTGACGCCAAGCTCCCTCAGGATGGTGACTATGCTCACGACGTCTGGGAACCCCAGGTCCGAGAGTACCCTCTTCGCAAGGTCCACGTGCACGACCTCGAACTCGTCTGCGACATGCAGATCCATGGCCTGGCGGACCCTGTGCAGCTCATCGTCCTCACGCGCGTGCACGTACCGCATGAGCTTATGGAACTCCTCAGCGGCAGATATGATCGCGCTTCGCGCTGCGCGAAGCGTGAATGACTTCGCGCTGCCGCGCCGCGCCCCTGGTGGAGAAGAGGCGGACGAGGAGGATGAGAATGAGGAGTCGTGAATCGCGAATAACTTCGCACCCTCGTGGCGGCCCTTGGTTCCTTCAGGCTGAGGCAGCTGGAGTTGTCGAGGTCCACAAGCTCGATCAGATCCTGCAGCACCTCCCTCGGGACTCTCCATCCGAGCCACCGCAATGCCAGCCGCGTCTGGTGGTGCGAGATCTCGATTGACAGAACAACAAAATATAAAGTACATCATCAAGCATAGTCATAAGCATTCGGAGGTCCGCGCGAACATCATTCGATGGGCGCTGAAACCCCTTCTCCTGGCGCGCGGAGCGCGCCACCAGGGGGAGTCCGGCGCCGATCCACGAAATGCGTGCTGACCTCCGAAAGTGTTTGCTCATACCGATTTTGTTGTTCCAATGGAGTCGTCGTCCTCCTTAAGAGATTCAACCTCGACGCCCATCGCGCGCGCGAATGCCTCCTCTCGGCGTCGCTCGGACGCGACTTTCCTGCGCGTGCTTCTGTGCGCCCGAAAGGGAGGCCATGGGGCAATCGAATTCCTCCCAGCTCCGCGAAGCGGCTTGCATGGCTCCAGGTGTCGAGCCAGTGGACCCCTCAAGACTCAAACGAAAAACAGGCCACGATCAGGGACGGGGTACGAGCTTGCCAGCCGGACTGGGGCAGGCGCCCCACACCGCGAACTGAAAGCCTACGGCATACCGCTCTTCGTCCAACGCGTCTGAGCGGCGTCCGGTCCTGGTCCGCGTGCCGCTCCTCGCGGGTCAGGCCCTCGCGGGAGCGGTACAGCTCCAGGAACAGCCACGCCTCGCCGCCGCTGACCTCCAGCGCCGGAGCGGCAGCCGGCGCAGGCACGCTCCGTGTCTGGGTCATCATCCTGCTGGTGCTGTTGCGCGGCTTGCTCCTGTGGAGTGGCTCCGAGGCCGTGCCCAACATCGGGCTCTTGGGCCTCTCGCGGGAGCAGGAAAGAGACTCTACCACCACCAGAGCTCCATAGAACTCCGTTCCCAGGGGCCATCACCCTCCGAGCTGGTGGCACTCCGTTCTGGGCACTCTTCTCTGGGGGCGCGCCCAGGAAAGGGATGCCACCAGCTCGGGGGGGGGGCGGCCAGCCCCCCTAATTAGCTGGAGGTGCTGGATCTTTCTTCTCGAGTGGGCCTCTGGACGGGGCAGCCGTCGGACACAGAGGAACAACACAAACGTCAAACACATGATCTTTCGAAGTTTCGCGCGGGTTTCTCGGCTCGGCGCTGGACCATCACCTGGCGGCGCCTGTGGTGCCGCCCCTGGCGCATTTCGCATGCGAAGGCGGGGCAGCTCCGACCCACGAAATCCGGGCGGACTGCCAAAAGCTTATGTTGATGCCGCTGCTTATTCCTCGATGACAGGCGAAGGGCTCTGGAGCCAAAAGCCCTTCGCGGGACGAGCTCGGTGGCCTCACGGTGGTCTACCCTGTTGGAGCTGGCAGTGTCGTCGGTGAGGTCGATGCCCGCATCCTCGGCGCACTCTATCACGGCGTTGCGGTTTGGCACGTGGCCGAGTGTCACCAGCAGCTTGGTCAAGGTCCTCTCCTTCGTGTAGTCGAAGACATTGACGAGGCACTCGGATATTTTGCCCACCTCGTGCTCCCGGGTCCTACGCATGAAGAGCAGGAACTCGTGCTTGCAGAGGTGGCCCAAGTTGCTCACGTCGACGCTCCTAAAGATATCCTGTGCCTCATCCGAGCTGAGCGTGTAGTTCAGGTAGTGCAGCATCCTTGAGGTCTCCTCCAGGTCCAGCGTGCCCGAATGGTCACAATCGAAGGTGTCGAAGGCGCCCATTAGCCGGTTGTACTCCACCCTGCAAAAGCCCGCGCGTGACTCCATGATCCTCCAGAACTCGTCGAACTCATCAGCGTCGATTGCCCCATCCCGGTCCTCGTCCACCTCCTCGAATATCCCTTTGATCACAAAATCCATAGGCTTCATGCCCAGCTGTAGCAGCAAGGCGGAGATTTCCTGCATGTCGAGCTTGCCCGACCTGTCCTCGTCGGCGCCGTGGAAGGCCAGCCTCTGGTCGATGAGTCTCCTCTCCAAGTAGAGCTGCACGATGTTGCAGAACTCGCGGAGGTCCACGGTGGCGTAGATTGAGACCTCCTCAGCCACCTCGTTGATCCTCTCGACCACGGGGTGGAACCCGAGAAAGGTCAGCGCGGACGACAAAGAGTCTTTGTGTACCTCCCCGTCTTTCTTGAAGCGGTTGAACACGGAGATCAGGTGGTCCTCGCTCAGCATCCGCTTCACGCGCGTCGAGATTGTCTCTGAGCAGCTCGGCTCTATCAAGACCTCGGGGGAGGGGTGCGCAGACTTGGACGGCGGCCTCACCGAGCTCCACCTCCTCGACGGCGTCTCGTCCTTCAGTGAGAAGCTCCGCCTGTCCCCGGCGGCGGCCTGCGGGCTGCCGCCGTGCACTGGCGTGGGCCAAGGGGAGGCTACCGAGCTCCGCCGCGTGCCCTTTTCCGCAACGCCTGGCGCGCATGGGCTCGCGTGTGCGCTGGTGCGACGGCAGGCACGAGGGCTCTGCGTCTGCACCTGGAACAGCGCCCGCCTCAACCCTCCACCGCCCTGCGGCTCGGGCTCGCCGAGGGCATCCTTGGAGAGCTCCTAGACAGTGCCCGAGTAGATGGTTCAGAGGGTCGCCTCCACATCGGCGATGCATTGCTGCCGCATCGGCGGCGTCGGCGGTGCATCGGCGACGCCAGCGTGGAGAACGTCGGGGTCAACATCAGGCGCATCGCCGAAGCACTGGCGATGCGGCGCGATCCTCCGACCCCATCTGCTCCGACCCCATCTGGGAAGCATAGACATCTCCTCCCCAGACCCCCGACACCATATTTGTTGATTACGTCGGCCACAAAGGTCTCGACCCATTCCCCAAGAACGATTTTTCAACCTGAATCGTTTCTGACGGTCCAGAGGACCGGTAAGGGCCCCCCAGCGGCCGAAAATTAAGGAAAACCTCCCGCCGTGATTTATTCGTGTCTCGACGGGGTCTGGCTCCCCGCAACTGATCCTTCGAGAACTCCTAGATGGGGTCCGGGTAGATGGGGTAGGAGGATCACGCTGCATCGGCGATGCCTCGGCCGGCGACGTCAGCGGTGCATCGGCGACGTCGTCATGGATAAAACCAGGTTCCACATCGCGCCGCATCGCCGATGTATCGCCGATGCGGCGCGATCCCCCGATTCCATCTACTCGGACCCCATGTGGGAGGCTAAGAATCCAATCGGTCAAGGACGGGGCATAACAAATCCATTCAAAATCGGTATCCGGATCCCTCCTGCAGTCCATCTGGTACAATTTTTCATTTCGGGTCCGTTTCTGATGGTCCCAGATCTCGACATTGCCCCCGATGGCCGACACAGGCAACAAAAGCCTCCTCGAACTCAGAAGCCTCGAACCTCTCCCGCCCCCGCAGCTCCCCAGAACAAATGCTGCGCTACCTCTCAGACCCCCAGCCGATTCCAAGCCGTGGGCATCCTCCCAACCTCGAGGACACGCAAACATGCATTAAGGCACGTGTATTAGCGACGAGTCCTGCCTCCACACTAAGGCAGCGCGCTCCGCCACCAAATCGCGCGGGGCTGGCGCCATTCGTCGGGGGTGCCTTCGCCAATCCATGGATCTGGCGGTCGCGCGCCAGATCCATGCATTCATAATCCATGTTAGCGTGAATTAGGTCGGGCATGTCCTCCTACAGGCGAATTTTGGATGAAAAACAACAATGCCAAACATATAAGAAAATAAAAAAAAAAAAAGAGTATACACATCGTTCACAGACTATTTGTTAATATTCCTCCTGTGGAGGGGGCCCGATCTCGTGTTGCAATCTCGGGGGACCCGCCTGCCCTGTCGCGGCCCTCTCTGCGTCGAACCCGTGCCCAATCCGTGTCGGCCTCGTCGGATCCGTGCCGAAGTCACGTGCCGAATACGCGTCGGATCCACGCCACATCCGCGTCGAGTCCGCGGCGAGCCCGCGCCGGGCACAAGAGAAGGCACCAGCTTTGGGGACAGGCGATGCCCCCCGAAAGTGCAACGTAACCTGGCGGCAAGCGAGGGGGGAAGTGAGAAGGAGAAGGTCTTCTCAGAAGGTTCGGAAGTCCCCCGGCCTTCTGAGAAGCTTTCTAAGCCTCCCCCGAAGACAGACAAAAGCTTCTCAGAAGGCGCCAGGGCTTCTGAGAAGTCCCGCCGCCTTCTGAGAAAGCCTTCCCCCTCTCCCTTCCCCCCCTCGCTCGCCGCCGAGTTCAATTCTCGGGTCAGAACTCGGGTCTTCGGCGGCCGTTCGGGACGATCTGGGCATCCCCGGAACGCTCTGGGCGAGGCGCAGCCGCTGGAACGCATCCCGAGGACGGCAAACCGCCAAGAGACTACGACACCGCCCGAAGACCTCGAACCTCGACCCCGGAAACCTCGAGCCCGAAAAAACCTCGAGCCTCGAACCTCGAACCCGCCAAGCCTCGAAGAACCGCTCCCCGCGGCAGGCCGCTGGGCGGCTCCCCCCCGGCTGCCGCGCCCCGGGCCCCGTGCCGGCCCCGCCCTCGGCCGGCGCCGCCGCGGGGGGCGCCGTGCCCGCGTGCGGCGCGGCCGCGGGCTGCCGCGGGCGAGGCGCAGTGCGGCCCGGCGGCGGCGATGCGCGCCTCTTGGAGCAGGATGGTGGTGGTGGTGGTGGTGGTGGTGGTGGTGGTGGTGGTGGTGATGCTGATGCTGATGCTGATGCTGATGCTGATGCTGATGCTGATGCTGATGCTGATGCTGATGCTGATGCTGCTGCTGATGATGATGATGATGATGATGATGATGATGGTGATGATGATGCTGATGATGATGCTGGTGGTGATGATGGTGATGGTGATGATGATGATGATGATGATGATGGTGATGGTGATGATGGTGATGATGATGATGATGATGATGATGATGATGGTGGTGGTGGTGGTGATGATGATGTGTCCGCTGCAAATGCTATGCCGAAGTACTGGGCAGATCGGCGGCGCGCGCCTCTCGGAGAAGGATCGGCGGCGAGCGAGGGGGCAGGGAAAAAGCGACGAGGGGGGAGGCCCAGAAGAAGCAACGCCAGGAACACATAAGCTCTTGGCGCTCCGCGCGGAGTTCTGGGATGCGCGCTGAGCTCCCCCGCCCAGCGGCGCCTCCGGCGCCGCACCTGGCGCGTGGCGCGCGCCAGAAAGGGGGGGGTCCAGCGCAGATCCCAGAAATCCGCGCGGAACGCCAAAAGTTAATGTTTATGGCGCTTTTTCTTCTTTTTGGAAGGCCTTCTCAGAAGGCGGCGGGACTTCTCAGAGGCCCTCGCGCGTTCTGAGAAGTTCTCATCTGCCTTCGGGGAAGGCGTACAAGAAAACTTCCCAGGAAGCCCGGGGACCTCGGAGCCTTCTGAGAAGGCCCGCCCCTCCTCACTTCCCCCCCCTCGCTCGCCGCCCATCTGAGAGCAGGAAGCACGGCATCCACACGGCGGGTTCCGGGGAAACGCTCTTTCATGACTCGGGGGGGTCCAGGCTTCCCCCTCCGAGCTCCTACGTCTACTCGACCTACTTCGTCCTGAGTCGTTTCTTGACGGCCCCGTCGTGATCTTTTCATGACTCGAGGGGGTCTGGGTTTCCTCCTCTCGTGATTTTTTCATGACTCGAGGGGGACCGGATTTCCCCCTCGTCTTGAGTCGTTTCTTGGCGGTCCCGTCGTGATCCTTTCATGACTCGAGGGGTCTGGGCTTCCTCCAATGAGCTCTCACCTCCTCCTCCTCCTCCTCCTCCTCCTCCTCCTCCTCCTCCTCCTCCTCCTCCTACCTCCTCCTCCTCCTCCTCCTCCTCCTCCTCCTCCTCCTCCTCCTCCCTCCTCCCCTCCTCCTCCTCCTCCTCCTCCTCCTCCTCCTCCTCCTCCTCCTTCTCTGAGCTCTTCCCGCTCTCGGGCCTCCGGGGCAAGCTCTGGGCGGCCGGACCGCAGTACCCCGCGGGGGACCGCGCCCGGCGCGGCGCCGAGGGCGCGGGGGCCGCCCGCCGCGCGAAGGCCAGCGCGCGCGGGGAGAGCTCCAGCCGCAGGGCGGCATCCTCGGAGGGCGAGGGCGACGACGACGACGAGGACGAGATCGATGACGACGACGACCGACGACGAGGACGACCGACGACGACGAGGACGAGGACGAGGATGACGACGAGGACGAGGACGAGGACGAGGACGGGGACGGGGAAGAAGAAGGGGACGAGGGTGAGGACGGGGACGAGGACGACGACGGGGACAAGGACGACGACGAGGACGTCGAGGACGACGACGACGAGGACGGAGACGGGGACTGGGGCGTGGGCGAGGACGACGACGTAACAGCAGCCAAGTGCCGTGCCGCTAAGAACAGAAGCCGCATGCACATGCGACGACGAGGGCAGGACGAATGGGGTCCTCAATGGGGTCCTCCTACTCTTTCCTCCCGCTCCTCCTCGTCTTCCTGCTTCCTCCTCCCTCCTCCTCCCTCCCTCCACCCTCCACCCTCCCTCCTCCCTCCCTCCTCGTCCTCCTCCTTCCTCCCCGACTCCCTCGATTCATGAAGAACCAATCACGGCGGCATGCACAGACGAAGATGACGACAACGACGACGACGACGGAGACCAACGACAACGACGACGACGACGACGACGACGACACCGACGACGACGACGACACCGACGACGACGACCGACGACGGCTGACGACGACGACCGACGACGACTGACGACGACGACGACGACGACGACGACGACGACGACGACGACGACGACGACGACAACGGACGACAACGACGACGACGACAACGACGACAGCGACGACGACAACGACGACCGTCGACGACGACGACGACCGTCGAGGACGAGGACGACCCACGACGAGGACGACGACGACGACATACAACGACGTTATGGCAGCCACGTGACGTCCCGCCTGGCAAATGCAGCCCCGAAGGGCCAAGCTGCCGCAGCCGATGACCCAGAACCAATCGGGCCATGAGAAAGGACTTGCAACTAACGGCTCAGGATGAACAAACTGATCCCGGGGAGTGGGTCGAGACCTGTTGCCGTCGACGTTGTGGAAAAATATGACGTCGGGAAAAGGAACATTGGATCAGGAATCCAGGATCTGAAAGTCTGACCATAAACCGTCGGAAGTCCGCGCGGACTCCCTTGGCCCCCTCTCTTGCGCGCGGAGTGCGCCTGCCGCCACAGGGCGGTCCAGCGACGAGCCAAGAATCAGGCGCAGTCCTCCGAAAGTTTGTGCTCATAGCTCACGTCGTGCTTTCTTCCGCTGAGTCCTCGGGCCAAGCCCCTGGCTGGCTGCCGGACGGCGAGCAGGGCCAGCTGCTGGGCGCCCGCTGGCCCGTGGGGGAGAGCTGCGGGGAGCCGTACGCCGCCAAAAGCGAGGCCTCGCCGACGGGCCCCCCGCTCGTCGCCGCCTGATCAGGGGCAGTGCCGCAGGGGGGGCCGGCACTGAAGCGGGCCCCCAGACATGCTCGCGTCGTGAAGAGATCACGGCGGGAAAATGTTGGCCGTTTCCGGCATCCCGGGGACCCTCGCCGAGCCCCAGGACCATCAAAAGAAGGACTCAGAATGAACAACTGGCACTGGGGAAAGGGTCAGGACTTCGGGGATTCAGGTCTTGCAGGAATATCTGGACATCCTGACATCCGGCCGCTTCAACTTCCTCGATGCGTGATTTGTTTTGTTCGGCACCGAGGCCGGGCGAGGGCTCGCGGAGGCCGTAAACGGCCAAAAAGCCGCCGGATCACTGGGATGTCTGCGAGGCCCCGACCTTCCCCCGAGACCACCGGAAACGTCCACGGCACGCCCGAGAACCTCCTCGAGCCTCGGTCCTCGGGAGGGGGGGCGGCCCACCGGCAGCAGATCCGCCACGGTGCTGCGAGGCATGAAGTGCGCTGAGGGTTGCCAGCGTTCCAGACCCAGACTCCCTCGAGCCATGAAAAAAACACGACTGGAGTTTGTTGCTATGTTAGGCCTCTGCGGGTTCTTACTGGGCCTCGGAACTATCAAAAAACGCCTCGGGACACAAAACTGGTCCCAGGAGATGGGTCGAGACCTCTTGGGGTCGACGCTATGAAACAATCATGACGTCAGAGGTCTGGGGACCATGGATTTCCGTGAGCTCGCGGGGGCTTCTGGCTGCTCTCCGGGCTGGGGTCGCGACTTTTCTCGAGGCCTCGAAGGCATGATTGGGGAGCCCAGGCTTCCAACATGCTCTAAGGTGGCCCCGAGTGTCCCGACGTGCGGTCCTGGAGCTCGGCGAGGGCCCCAGGAGGCCGACATTGGCTGACAACTTACCATCGATTTTGTTCACGACATGAGGGTGTCCATAGGTAGCGGTGGCCCCCTTCAGGCGCTGCCTGGCCTGCACGAGCACAACTCAAGGGAGCCTCCCATACCATCTTGTTGGGTCTTGCGAATCGCCGCTGATCGACCCTAGTCGACGGTAAATCGACGCTCATCGACGCTGATCGATGTTAAGTCGGGGCTACCTTATCGATTTCCAGACGCTAATCGACGCTAGCGCACTCGAAATTTGGAACTGCGATGACATCCAATGCTCTGATGATTTGCTAGCGAAGGTGACCCCCCTTTGAGGCGCTCTGGCGGCGCGCAGAAGGGGGCAGGGGGGAAGGGGGATGGCTCCTTAGAAGGAGGCTGCTTTTCGGAAGGCGCCGGCACTGCATCGACAGATCAGGCCCGCGCCTTCTAAAAAGCAGGGGTGCTTCTGAGAAACCCTCCCCCTCCCCCCCACCCCCCTCTGCGCGGGGCTCAGCGCTGCCTGTCTCGACCCACTCCCCTGGGACCGGTTCCTCTTCCGGAGCCGTGTTCGCTCGGACGGCCACCGGGCCCAGCAGGGGCCCCCAGAGGGAGAGCAGGGCGAGAAACCGCCCGAGGCGGTCTCAGAAGAAGAATAAACGCCATGAACATACACTTTTGGCGCTCCGCGCGGACTTCTTGGATCTGCGCTGGACCCTCCTCCCTGGCGCGCGCCTGGGGTGGCGCCGGAGGCGCCGCAAGAGGGGCCCAGCGCGGATCCAAGAAGGCGTCTTTTCTTCCTCGACCAGACGACGAGCATGGCGACAGACCGCCCGCCGTGATGTCCTCATGACCTGAGGCGGTCTGGGCGAGGCGCTGCCAGCGAGAACAACGATAACAGCGATCAGTATCGTTGTTATCGTTGTCATCTTTGTTGCCGTTGTCGCTGTTATCGTTGTCATCTTTGTTGCTGTCATCGTTGTCATCGGTGGTATCGTTGGTTGTTATCGTTGTCGCTGCTATCCGTGCCGTTGCCATCGTTACCCGTGGCCTGCACGAGCACCGCCGCACCCCCGCGGCCGGGCCGCGCCGAGCCGGCCGCGGCGCTGCGCGGCCGGCGCCTGGGACCGGCCGCGGCGCCGCGCGGCACGGAGCGCCCCGCGGGGGCTGCGGCGGCGGACCTCGGAGCAGGGCGAGCTGAGACGACGGAGACCGACGACGACGACGACGACGACGGCGGAGACCGACGACGACGACGACGACCGACGAACGACGAACAGGACGACGACGACGCCGACGACGCCGACGACGACGACGACGACGACGACGACGACGACGACGACGACGAGGGAGACCGAGGACGACGACGATGACGAAACGGACGACGACGAGGACCACGAGGACGACGAGTACGACGGAGACCGACGACGACGACGCAACAGCAGCCAAGTTCCGTGCCGCCTGGCTAACGCAGCCCCGAAGGGCCAAGCTGCCGCAGCCGAGGACCCATACCTCCCCGGGTCATGACCATAAATCAAGGCGGCCTGTTTTTCTTTCTTTTCCAGCTCGGGAAGCCCCTACCAGGCCTTGGGGCCGTCAAGAAAGGACTCGGGATGAGAAACCAGCCCCGGGGAATGGCTGCGCATCTCTGGGGGTCGACGTTAACTGACAAACATTCACGACGGCGGGGGTCCAGGACGGCAGCTCAAAATCGGCCCCGGGACCTCTCCAGGGGTCCAACCGCACCAACTTCCCGAGCCGCGTCTACCCGTGGCGACGAGGGGGCCCCCGAAAGGCCACCTACCACTGTCCGCAGACTCCCGACGTCATGATACTTTCAGGCAGCGCCGACCCCGAGAGGTCTCGACCCCATTCCCCGGGACCAGCTCTTCATCCTGAGTCGTTCTCTGAAAAGCCCGGGGCCCAGGCAAGGGCCCCCAGAGGCCGAACGCGGCGAAACACCGCGCGTCGTGATCTCGCCCTGGCTGGAGGGGGTCTGGGCACACGTCGCTGGGGCCCGCAGACCCGGGGCGCGCCAGCGGCGAGAGGCCCCAGGCGGACGCAGGGCGCGCCAGCGGCGAGAGGCCCGGTGCGGACGCGGGGCGCGCCAGCGACTGCCCGCGGCGCGCGGGGCTCCGCGGCGGGCTGGCCCGCCGCCCCGGGGGCGGGGCGGCCGCAGGGTCCAGCCGGGCGGCGGAGTCCTCCTCCTGGGAGGGCCCCCCTCGGCGCCGTTCGCTTCGAGCTTCGAGGTTTCGGTCGGGGTCCTCCTAGACAGTTTGGACGGAAGTTGGAACGTTGCTGAAGAAACGCCAAAAATAGTAAAGCAATCGTCCCCAGACTATTTTATGATTTGTTCCCAACCATCCTGTGGTGCTGGGTCCTCGTCACCTCACTCCCGCTGCCGCCTCCTCCCCTCCCTCCCCTCCGCCCGCCCCCCCCCTCACTTTGGCACACCCCTCACACGTTTCGGGGCCCCTCAGGGAGCCCCATCGAAGGCCCAAATGCCCGCGTTCGCATGCGGCCACCGCGCCCATTTTGGCACACCCCTCACATGTTTCGGAGCCCCATAGGGAGCCCCACCGAAGGCTCAAATGCCAGTGTTCGCATGCGGCCACCGCACCCATTTTGGCACAACCCTCACACGTTTCATGGCCCCACAGGGCGCCCCACCGAAGGCCCAAATGCCAGCGTTCGAATGCGTCCGCAACCATTTTGGCACACCCCTCACACGCTTCGTGGCCTCATGGGGAGCCCCACCGAAGGCTCGAATGCCAGCGTTCGCATGCGCCACTGCGCCCATTTTGGCACACCTCTCACACGTTTCGGGGTCTCACAGGGAGCCCCACCGAAGGCCCAAATGCCAGCATTCGCATGCACCACTGTGCCCATTTTGGCACACCCCCCACACGTTTCGTGGCCTCATAGGGAGCCCCACCGAAGGCTCAAATGCCAGCGTTCGCATGCGGCCTGAGACGTTTCCGTGTCCCCATAGGGAGCCCCACCGAAAGCCCAAATGCCACGGACAGGGACACGGACACGGACACGGGCCCCCGACCTCTCGACCAATCTCCCTGGACCAGCACTTCGTCCCGCGCCGTTTTTTTGACGGCCTCAAAGCCCGGTAAGAGCCCCGAGGCCGGAAACGCTACCAAACCTGTGTCTCGACCTGCTCGAGACGCCAGATGTGTGGTGCCACTTGCTTCGCGGCGACTCCTCGTCCCACCCAGAGATCGCGCAAGAAGGCTGCTCGGCGAATCTAGAAGAAGAAGAAGAAAAAGAAGACGAAGAAGAAGAAGAAGAAGAGGAAGAAGAGAAACAACAAAAACAAACATCAACTTTTGGCGCTCCGCGTGGATTTCTGGGATCTGCGCTGGACCCCCTCCGTGGCGCGCGGTGCGCGCCAGGGGCGGCGCCGGAGCCGCCGGGGGGGGGGGGGGCAGTGCGGATCGAAGAAATCCGCGCGGAGCGCTAAAAGTTCATGCTTATGACGCTTCCCTTCCGCGAAAGCCGGGCGTCGGCGCGCGACACGCACCCCGACCCTCGGCACCCGGAGCGGCTCGAGCGCCTCGCGCGCCCGTGGGCGGCGGCGCGTTTTTTTTGCGCCAGCGTGGCTGGCCAGCGGCTTTGGGCAGTCGCCAGGCATCTCTCGGGGCCCCTGGCTGGGCTGCTGCACTGAGGCGCTCGACGTCCGAGAGCTGTCTTTGAAGATTATCCTGGACTTCAGCTCGTCGAATTAGAAGCATCGCGCCTCATCGGCGATGCATCGGCGATTCACCAGCGATGCACTGGCGTCGCATCGTCGACGTCGGGGAGGCATCGGCGCCATCGACGTCAAGCAAATCGGGCCACACATCTTGCCGCATCGGCGATGCATCGGCGATGCGGCGCGATCCTCTGACCCCATCTACTCCGACCCCCCATCCAGGATGCCTAGACGAACGCAGCGCTGTCTGGCACACGTGCTGCCTCGGGGGGGGCGAGGGGGACGCGAGGGAGGAAAGGGGGGCAGGCTGCAGGAGAGGGGGTGCTGGAGGAGAGGGAGGCTGGAGGAGAGGGAGGAGAGGGAGGAGAGGGGGAGGGGAAGGCTGGGCTGGAGGAGAGGGAGGAGAGGGAGGAGAGGGGGGGGAAGGCCGGGCGTAGGCCACCCCCCGTGGGGCAGACGCTCGACAGCTGGCCGGCGGTCTGCTGTGCTCCTCCTCCGTCCCCGCCAGCCTCCCCCCCCCCCTCATTTTGCCTCCCCCTCCTCCCGCCTCCCTCTCCCTCTCCTCCAGCCTCCCTCTGCTCCAGCCTCCCTCTCCTCCCTCTCCTCCCTCCCGCCTCCCGCTCCTCCAGCTTCCCTCTCCTCCCCCCCCCCCGTCCTCCAGCAGCCGCAGCAGCCGCTGCTCGACCTCCGCGGGCGTGGGCAGCTCCCTCGCGGGCAGGCGGCGCGCAGCAGTCCCAGACGTGCTCGCGCCGTGAGGGAAACCGAGACGGGCAAGTTGTTCCTGTTTTCGCTCGGCGCTAGGAGCACGATGTGCCCCCGCGTCGCGAGAAGGCTTCTGTCTGTTCTGTCGGCCTCTGGGGACCCTCGTGGGCGCCCAGGGGCCGTCACAAAACGACTCGGAGCGAAAAGCTAGCCCTGGGGAACTGGTCGGGTCGTCCGGGGACGGCATATGGACAACATCGAGACGTCGTCTCAGGAGGAGGAGGAGGAGGAAAAGGAGGAGGAGGAGAAGGAGGAGGAGGAGGAGAAGGAGGAGAAGGAGGAGGAGGAAGAGAAGGAGGAGGAGGAGGAGGAGGAAACGGAGGAGGAGGAACACGAGGAGGAGGAGGACGAGGAGAAGGAGAAACACAAATGCGGATGAGAAAAAGGAAGGAAAAAACAAAGGAGGAGGAAAAGGAGAGGGAGGAGGAGGAGGAGGAGGAAAAGGAGGGAGGAGGAGGAGGAGGAGGAGGAGGAGGAGGAAGAGGAAGAGGAAGATGAGGAGGAGGAGGGGGAGAAAGAGAAAAAGAAGAAGACAAAACAAAGGAGGAGGAGGAGGAGGAAAACAAGGAAGGAGGTCATCAAGACGTCGCATGCCTGGGGTGGGCCCCTGGGCAACGAGTGGCCTCTGGTGCGTGGTCATTTCATGGGGCCGCGGGGAGGCCTAGCCCAGGTGCGCAGGGGGGGGGAGCGGCGCGAGCGATGGGGGGCGGGCGGGCTCTTAAGAAGGCGGGGGAGTTTCTGAGAAAACAAAAGCTTCCTCAAAATCGCACGGGTGTTTCTAATCTAGGCGACGGGAAGTATTTGTGTTCCCCCCACACCCTCCTGCGTTGGGTACTCGTTTTGACTAGAGCACTGCGGTCGCACACCTTCCTTCCTTCCTCCGCGCCTTCTGTGTCCTCCCTCCTGCCTCTCACCTCGCTCCCTCCTGCGTGCCTGCTTTTGTCCTACCTTGCCATCCCTGGGGGCGCTGCGATTTGCGAAACTGTGTGCACTTTCGACGGTTTCTGGGGGGGTCCAACGGGGTGACGTTTGAGCAAAACTCAAGTGAGACCTCGCCGTCCTTGTGGATATGCGATCTGCGAAACTGTCGCCGCTCTCACTGGAGTGACGTTTGAGCCACACTCAAATGAAACCTCGCCGTCCTTGAGGGGTTGCGATGTGCGAAACTGTCCCCACTTTCGAAGGCTGCTGGGGGATCCACCGGAGTGACGTCTTCGCCAGACTCAAGTGAGATCTCGCCGTCCCTGTGGGGCTGCGATCTGCGAGCCAGTCGCCACTTCCGAAAGCTGCTGGGGGGTGCAGCGGAGTGACGTCTGACGCGGGCCACCAGGCCACCAGCCTGGACCCCATTTGCCCAACCTGGACAGAACCTCCTGATGATATGCGACCCTGGCCTGGATGTCTTTGCCCGCGGGCCGCCCGCAGACCTGGCGGCGCCCCTTCGAGCGTTCAGCTCCCGCGCTGGAGAGTGCAGGAAGGAGGCGGAGAAGATAGCGGGCGAGCTGGGTATCGCTCGCTCCTTGCACCAACGATGAGCAGGTTGGATCCTTCCGGAAGCCGCAGCGATATGGCGCAGGAGGTGCTGCATCTTTGGCGTGCTACCGACGAAAGCAACACTCTCTCTTCTGTCTCTTGCCGTCACTTTCGTCGTCCTCTGCGAGTCCTCTGCCCCTCTGCCACCTTCCCTCTGCTGCTGCCGCGCTGACGGTTCGGCCACCCACACGTCCTTTTCTTGCCTTTCGTTCCCGCCCCCATGTCCTCCTCGAGCCTGGGCCCTCGCTCCTCGTCCTTCTGACGTTGTCCTGCGAACCGTGCCAAGTGAGCGCATCCCATGTGGCCAGCACAACATCTAGCGGCGCCTGCACTGCCATTGTCCTGGCAAGTTTGGGTAAACTCCTCTCGTGACTTGATGCAAATGGGTTGGTACGTCACAGGGTAATCTCTTCTCAACCATCCTGTGGTGCTTGGATCTTGTATTGATGAGACAGCACGCCACGTCCCACCTCCTCCCCCGTCTTCTCCTCCTCTTCCTCCTCCTCCTTTTCCTCCTCCTCCTCCTCCTCCTACTCCTCCTACCCATCCTCCTCCCATCCGTACCTCTGCCCTCCGCATGTCCAGTCCGGTGCACCCCTCACGCGCTTCGTGACCCCACAGGAAGCTCCACCGACGGCCCCAGACGGAGCGTTCGCATGTGTCCGCGCCGCCCAGTACAGCGCTGCGTGGCCTCATCAGAGAAGTGCGAGAGCTGCTCCCGAAGCTGTTTCCTGAAAACCTGAATTATGCGAGGGGGGGCGTGCACAGAGTTGGGCCGCGACAAGCGCAGCCGAGGCCCGTGTGGCAGGCGCCGGCGACGCCCCCGCCCTCTCCTGCGCCTGCTGTTTTGCGCCTGGCCCGGGGCGCCGCCGACGGAACCCGGCGGGGTCCAGCCCGGAGCACAAGCATGGGCCGCGACGCGCCGAGGCACTGCCACTCCAGAAGTGTTTTCGATCACGGGGGGTGCTCGGGCCCAGGGAGCTCCGTGATCACACTAATGAGATGTACCCCCTCTCGCTCGATGCAGGGCGGAGTGGCGCGAACGAGCCGTGGACTGGCTTCTTCAATTTTAGAAGAGGAGGAGGGGCCTTGGTTCCACGATGGCTCCGACGTTTCAGATTTTACAGAACCGTAAACGTCTGAATTCAGAAGGTTGCGAGTTCCAGTTTGGTTCCGCGATGGTCCTGACGCTGCAAATCCACGACGTCCTCTGAATTTATAGGGTACCTGATTGGTTCCAGTTTGGTTCTGCAATAGTTCCGACGTCGCAGCCCGCGGAATATGAAACTACAAGGGCTACTGCTTGGTCCCAATTTGGTTCCACGATGGTTCCGACGTTGTAAAACAACGAAACCGAATGAACTTACCAGGGTCTTGCTTGGTTCCACGATGGTTCCACGGGGGCTCCGACGCTGCAAGTTTGACGCCATCTGAATTTGCAGGTTTCCTGCTTGGCTCCACGACGGTTTTACGAGGATTCTCGGTCTCATCGGCGCGAACTGCCCTCGAGGGCGCAGGAACTACACTGCCGCCACAGAGATCGCCTTGCTAAATGATGCGGTTCGCGTTGAAGATACCGCGTTCACAGTTGAAGGAAAAATTCGCACCCGTTTGATTGGGAGCTCCACCGAAGGCCCCAGGGGGAGCGTTCGCAATCGTCCGTGCAACCCAGCACAGCGCTTCGTGACCGCATAGGGAGCTCCACCGAAGGAGCGTTCGCATGCGTCCGCGCCACCTAACACAGCGCTGCGAAGCCCCATCGGGACCTCCACCGAAGGCCCCAGAGGAAGCGTTCTTCTGCGTCCGCGCCAAGCAGTGTAACGTTTCGTGGCCCCACAGGGGGCCCCACCGAAGGCCCAAGTGGCCGCGGCCGCATGCGTATCCCCCACCCAGTACAGCGCGTCGTGGCCACATAGGGAGCCCCACCGAACGTTCCAGTGGCCGCGGCCGCGTGCGTCTCCCAACCCAGTAATCACAAAGCTTCGTGGCCCCATGGGGACCTCCACCGAGGACCCCAGTGGCCGCGGCCGCATGCGTCTCCCCTACCCACTACACATACAGCGCTTCGTAGTCCCATGGGGAGCTCCACCGAAAGCCCCACTGGCCTAATGGCCGCGGCCTCATGCGTTTCCCCGAGCCAGTACAGCGCGTCTTGGCTTCACAGGGAGCTCCACTGAAGGCCCCAGTGGCCGCGGCCGCATGCGCCCCCCCGCCCAGTACAGCACTCCGTGGCCCGATAGGGGTCTTCATCGAGGACCCCAGTGGCCGCGGCCGCATGCGTCTCCCCCACCCAGTACAGGACACCCCTCACGCATTTTGTGGTCCCAAAGGGAGCCCCATCGAAAACGGTTTCCACAACGCGGCATTCACAACTACATAGGGTTGGGTCCTTCTCCAAGATAACTAACTATTGTCTGCCTCGGGGGCCCTTGCCGGCCTCGGTACCGTCAACAGAACGACCCAGGATGAACACCGGCTTCGTGGAACTGGTCGAGACCTCTGGAGGTCGGCGTTAGGAACAAATCGTAATGTCTGGGGCCCCCTTTAGAGGCCCCCTAGATGGGTCCGAGTAGATGGGGTCGGAAGATCGCGCCGCATCGCTGACAGAGCGGCGATTCGTCGGCGATGCATCAGCGATGCACCGGCGATGCATCGTCGACGTGGGCGATGCATCGGCGAAGCCGACGTGAAGCAAATCGGCGATGCATCGGCGATGCATCGGCGACGCGGCGCGATCCTCCGACCCCATTCTACTCCGACCCCATCTAGGAGGCCTAGAGCAAAGACTTCGCGGTTGAGGGCATTCTAGCACCTGGCGATGGGGGCCCTGACGTCAGGCAAGGAGCGGGCAGCACTGGCCTTGTCCTCCGTGTCAGCCAGGAGCCGCGTGAGTCGCTGCAGGCCAGGCTTAGGTCGGGCGTGTCCCCCTACAGGCGGATTCTGGACGAACAATAAAAAGACACCCCAAGAATATCCAAAATATCCGAAAATGATAAAATCCCCAGGACCGCACGGGTGCTCCTCAGAATGCCGCCTCTCCAGGGGTAGCCGGGCAACCTCCCGAGGAAGCAGCCCCCCCTGCCTTCTCGGGCGCTCCCCCGCCGCCTTGCAGGGCCGCCCCCCTCGCGCCGCCCCCCTCGTGCGCGCCCCCGTGCCGGGGAAGGGCCCCGCGCAAAGCCCGCGCAGGACCCTCGGATCCGACGTGGCGAAAGCTCGCAACGGCACAACCGAGAATCGCGACCGGAGACCTATAAACCCCAACTTGAGGGGGCATTCCCCGAACCCGATCGATCCGTGAGGGCCCAGGGCCCGAAACCGGCGAGACCGCCTGGCGCAAAAAAAAAATACAACGCCCAGATCTCAGGTACACCCCTGCCTAGAGTTGAGAAAATTCTGGGCTAACAAAAAAATCGACTTCACTCCAAGTGTTTCCTTGAACGGTAGTCCAGATCCAGATATACAAGAATACTCGACGCAGAAAGAAGCTCAAAGAAAACGCCCAGGGTCCAGTCCAGATTCGTGATTTTCTCAAGCGAAATCTGGAGTCCACGAAACTTTGCGCTTCTTCTTGAGATTTCTGATCGGTGACGCCTGGGAGTGACGCCTGGGGCTGACGCCCCCTTCATGAGGCGAGACCCGCCCGGCAAAAATCAGCCTGGTGATGGACCAGACCGTATGCAGTCGTGAAGCTCAGAATGGAAATATCGAGGAGGAGGAGGAGGAGGAGGTGGCGGAGGAAGCCCTCTGTGAGGTCACGAAACTTGTGAGTGGTGTGCCGAAATGGACATGCGGTGGGCGGGGAGCCGCACGTGGACCATGCCATTGGGGCCTTCGGTGGAGCTCCGCATGAGGGGTTTGCCGAAGTGGACATGTGGTGGGCGGGGAGCCGCACGTGGATCGTGCCGCTGGGCAGTGGGGCTTTCTATGAGGCCACGAAGCGTTTGAGGGGTGTGCCGAAACGGACATGCGGTGGGCGGGGAGCCGCATGTGGACCCTGCCATTGGGGCCTTCTTTGGAGCCCCCTACGGGGCCACGGATCGTGTGCGCATGCCGAACTGGGCGGGGCATGATGGTTAGTGATGAGGATGCGGATGGTGTTAATGATGAAGGTGATGGCAATGATGATGATGATGATGATGATGATGCTGATGCTGATGCTGATGCTGATGATGATGATGATGATGATGATGATGATGATGATGATGATGATGATGATGAAGCTCATGGTAATGGTGATAACGGTGATGATGAGGTGGCGATGCGGAGGGCAGAAACAGGGATGGGAGGAGGGAGGAGGTAGAGGAGGAGGGGAGGGAGACGCGGTGCGCTGTCTCTCCAAAATGAGGACCCAACACCACAAGATGGTCGGGAAAAAGGCCACGCCCAGATCTCGTCGCTTCGCTTCGACTGCTGTAATGAGCAGGTAACCGCGCACACGGAAATCGCACACCCTGACGCACTCACGTGCTACTACATTGCCACGGCCCCTCACAAGATGATCCGCAAAACCCTGCCCATCTCTTCCAAGGCCGCCCAAATCCCATTGGGGGCCACTCCTGCCAAGAAACCCGCTCTCACGTGCACAACAAGCCTCGGCACCGGCTGCGTCGCAAGGGCGCCCGGCGGGTCCCTCGGGGGCGCCGGCGCAGCGGGCAGCACGGTGGAGCTGCCAGAGCGGTGCTGCGGGGGCATTGCCCCGCCCCTGTGGGGGCGGGGCGCTTCGAACCTACAGCCGCATCTGGAGGCGCGCCGCCCTGCGGCGGAGATCCGATCTGCCGCAGCGCTCCCGCGGCCCGAGCCGGTGTGGCTGCGGCGCGGCGCGACGACGGCGGCGGTTCCAATGCAGTCATGCATCCCCATAGCCCACAGGGGAGAAGAAGGGGGAGGAGGAGGAGGAGGAGGAGGAGGAGGAGGAGGAGGAGGAGGAGGAGGAGGAGGAAAAGGAGGAGGCGGAGGACGAGGATAGGATGAGGAGGAGGAGGAGGAGGAGCAGGAGGAGAAGGACGAGGAGGAAAAATATGAGAGAGGGAGGAAGGATAAGGAGAATGAGGAGGAAAATGGAAACCAGAAGTCTGAAAGGGATGGTGAGAAAGAAAGATTCGTTTCTCGCAGGTGTTGTTGCGATGTGTTAGCGCTGGCCCTGGAGGCGTGCCTTGAGCCATTCATGGCGACCCCCGCGTGCCCGCATTCCCTGCTATGCTACAACTGCCCTAACATGCTGAAGGACGAGGTCGCCGACCGTTCGAGTCTGCTCGAAAAAACCCGCCGTGCCTGGTTGGCAGCCCTAACGCACGCCGCCCAGACGACCACAGAGACCCAACAGAGTGGACACACAAGATGGGTACAGTACTGAACGGGACAAGGCAGAAGCTCTACAAACCACACCATCTATGATAAAAGTGCAGTGTACGGGGGCCCTCTGCTAACCAGCTCCGTCGTGAAAGATTGCAGTCACGACCAAACAGACAGGCTGGCAGCAGACATTTGGTGGAGCACAGAATAAACTGTTCAAGTGCTCAACGCGCAATGGTCTGCTGCCCCGCGAACATAGTTCATGGAAACAGCCCCATCACTGATATGGATCATTACGTCTCACTCTCGAATATACCCTAAGGACATGCGAGTCTGTCCGTACCCCCATCACTGATGTACTGTGTCGCAGTCGCGAACACAGTCAGCGAAATGCGCATCGTGCGGCAAATTCGCGGACACGGTTCGGACATGCGACGCCGAGAAGATTACCCGTCGTCGTTGTCATGTGTTGAGGTCGCTGCAGCTGGAGCTCGGCACCGTCTTCTTGCGACGCTCCTCGCTCAACCTCAGCGCTGGGCGTCCGTGGGCGAGCTTCCCCCCCGGGATGTTGAGGATGAGCTCCCGGCCGATGGTCCCCTCCGCCATGGAGTCGGCCCTCATGTCGCGGGTGTCGCACCACAGAATGTCGGGTAGCTGCTTGGTGCGCGGCTGGTCTGCTAGCCACTGCAGGTGGCCTGCCATGCAGTTTGCTGATGGCGGCCGCACGTGGTCCATGGCCAGCGTGGAGAAGGCGGGCGCGCCGTCCCCAACCATCTCGGCAAGCACAACGAACCCCCCCTCCTCCCTCAGCCTCCTGGCCTCCTCTGCTGAGGCGGGTCCGCGCGCCATCTCGCGCAGCGTAGGGAGGCGCGCCTGTTGGCCGTCTGCTGCTCCGCGTGCTGCGAGTAGCTCGGAGCCGAATGAAGGTCGACACGCAAGTATGTGTGATCGGCTCACAGCGTCGAGCAAGTGGCAGATCTGTTTACCAGGACTGCAGCACTTGCACACGAGCATGTATACGGCGCCACGCATGCCTTATCTTGTCTCCTCCTCACGGTCGCTGTGCGCGCAGATCTGGCCCGCGCACTTCGTCGCCTGGAAATCGACGCGCGCTTTGATCGTCTGCGCGGCCAGAACAACGGAATGAGTTGCATAATGTGACTGATGAGCAGCTTGTTCTCGGCCCGATGCAGCGCGACCACGTAGATGGCAACGCGGGGTTGCGCGAGCAGCGCATAGGCGAACGCTCCGAGAAGGGAGACAATGAGGTCCAGGAGCAGACCTCTGGCGGTCTCTTCGGCCTACGACTTGATCAGGTCGGCGCCACTGACGGGGGTCAGCGCGTCGATGCAGTTGCTCGTCCCGGTCGTCAACAAGGTCGTCCTGGACAATTTGGGGCCCGCCCCAGCGCTGGAGCACAAGGTCGTCGACGACGATCGCGGGCGAGACGGCGCCGAACCTGGCGACCATGTCATCGAGCGGCAGCAACAGCATGAGCATCATGAAGCCATTGGCAAACGCATCGCCCACCAGGAACTTCTGCAATACCTCCATCTCCGCCGAGCAGAACCCATCGGGATGGCGTGCCCTTGGCGCGCGACGCAGGGATTTCTGGGGCTTGGCCAACCGGAGCAGGAAACCAGACTTGACGGCTGCCCGGGTCAGGCACGGGTGGGACACCTGCTCGGACGCCTTCCAGAGATCCAGCAGGATGCTGCCTGACGCCGCCTCATGAGCAAGATGCTGCCCAACCATCGTGGCAACCCGTTCAGCTCTGTCTTGCTGCTACCTCGCCGCGTCGTCGCACAAGCGCCCCAGACTAGCCCGCCAGCGGGGCCGATCGGTGTCATTCTCCCGCTGCTGCACGAGCGGGCGACACAGCCGCCCCTGAACCCGAACCACCGCGGCGAGAAGCGCGAGTGGGCGTTGGGAACCATCAGTCTCTGGAATGAACGCCATCTTGGTGATGAGAGCCACCTTGGCGATGAACGCCATCAATCTCCGCCAAGATCGTCCAACAACGTGAACTCACTCGGGCGAATGCTGCCAAGGTGGGTCAAGCATGAAGCTGAAAAAAAAAACACAATCACCAGCCGCAGCTCCGCCTCGGTGGGCCAATCCGGGCGCGCCCCAAGGTCCACCCTCAAGCCTCGTCTGCCCGCGCTGCTCGGGCCCCCTCGAAGCTATCGCGGCAAGTCGCGTGGTGCCCATCTCGCTGCCGTAGGTGCACTGGGCGCGCGTGTTCTAGAACACCTCGCGGCCCTCGAGGAGGCTGCAGGAGCGCCTGGCGATCTCGTCAGCTCAGGGCTCCTGCCTGCAGGCTGCGTAGCCACCGATAGTACCGCTGACGATTGCGGCGCTGGCTGCCCCAGGTCTGCTCACAAAGAGCCTTCTGCCACGTGGAGCGCCCCCTCGCTGAAGCTGGCGCCCCCGCGAATCTGGGCATGCTCTTGCATTGGCGGGGGCGTCATCTGATGATTGAGGAAATGAGCGACGCATGGCGCGCAGCCGAGCTCCCAATCGCGCTCGCCGACGAAATCCCCGACATGGGCGTCCGAAGCCAGGTCGACCAGCCAATGCCTGGCCCAAGAACGCAGGCCCTTCTAAAGGCTGCGTTTCAACTCCACCGCGCCCATTCGAACTGCACCCCCCATCGCCGCAAACCCCGGGGTCGTCGCCATTGGAGCCGAGGAGGGCCGCCACGCCCGCTGGCCACAGCCCACTCGCAGGAAGAAGCTGGGGGGGTTGAGGAAGCTGCATGGGGCTGGGCGCTACTTCGACCCTGCAGCAGCTTGGGCGGCGCGATCGGTTGGCTCGGGGCTGGCGCGCTCACCGCGGGCGGTGCTGCCGCGTCCAAGTAGGCAGACCACTCGTCGACCAGCGCTTGCAAGCTCTGCTGAATAATCAGCGACGCCGCGCCCTCGGGCCTCGCGGGCCGAGCGCTCCAAGACTGAGCCTACGCGGCGACGGCATAGACGCACCCGGGGCCCGTGGCCGCCGAGCGCAGCGCCCAACAGTTGCATCCACGCTGCGCCTGCTCAAGATCGCGCCTGACCGTGGACTCCAACCAGCGCGTGCACGCAACGCCGAGGATCCCAAGCTGCATCAACGCGAAGTCGCTGGCGCCGTCGCACGCCGCAAGAAACGCGCTCTGCAGGTCGCCCAGGGTAATCGGCGGCCTGGAGCCATGCCCGCGCAAGGCTCGCAATGCCCCTGGGCTTGATGACCTGCCCGGCGCCCCGAAGACAGATGGCCGCCGACCTTCGCCGCGTCGCAGATCGCGTGACCCGAGGTAGCCTCGGGGGAGAGGGTGCCGCGACGGGCGCATCCGCAAGCCGAGGTCGCCCAGACCTGCCCGCGCGCTAGTCCAGTTCGTGGATAAGCCCACAGGCGCCTACCAAATGGACATCAGCCTTGGCGACGACGGTTCTCCACATCTCGCCTAAATCCGTCGCGCGGCCAAGCAACTCGCGAACCCGAGGCCAATCTGCCCGATGATCGCGAGAGCAGCAGGCCACCGCCCTGGGCCGAGGCAGCCGCTTCGCCGAGCGCATGATGGCCACCTGCCGGCGCCTGCCTGTCCCCGAGAGCTCGAGCGTGAGAGGATTATGAGGACCGGGACCAAGACACTGAGTCGCGCTGGCCTTAGCTCCTCTGCAAAGCCGAGACACAAGAGAAACCAATGACACCCTCGCCAGGCCTACACGCCGGTTCGGAGGGAGCCGCCGCGACGGCCTGCGCCGCCTCCAACCAGCCCGACTCGGCAATGGTCATCGGCTCCACGTTGAGATGGCCGCCTGCAGCGCCATGAGCATCGCGTGCATGGTGTCTGCGCTGCTGCTTGTGAGTCCGGCTCCCGCCTCTGGGTGGGCGTCGGCCCTGGCGGTGGCGCCTCTGCAGGCACCGTTGACGTGAAGGATGATGGCTCTGCCTGGCTCTAGGACGGACAGCGTGCCGAGCAGCTCAAAGGGGCCGAGCCTGCAAAGGCGCGGCGCCGTCTGGACCTGCCCGCCGCTGCCCCGACGCCCCGGGCCTGTGTCGATCGCAGGCGCAGCCTCTGAGACCTGAGCTTGGGCGTCGTGCGCCCGCTGGAGGTCGAAGTGCGTCTCCTGGGCGGCCGCGAAGTCGCGGCCCCTGACCGTGGCCGCGCCCAGAAGCTGGGCAAAGCACGACCACGCGTTGCAGTTCACTGCGAGGCCGACCCGCCAGCGCGCCGCATCAGAGCCTGTCCGATTCGGCAGCAGTGAGGAGTTGTTGCCGCCGACGGCCTGAGCCGAATGGCCACCCTGGCGGCAGCTTGGCACGCTTCGCGCCCCTGCGGAGGTCGATCGCTTCAAGAGGCCGCCTCTTCTCGCCCTCGTCGGCGGCGCTGCCCAAGACGCCACCGGGTCCTCGACCGCCGCGAACTTGTCGACGCCATCGTCGTCGCCGGCGGCGCCCATGGTGGTGTCGTCTCCCCCAAGCGGCCCTCCTTCAGAAGCAGGTCGTCCTCCGTGGGAAGCAGCTGGGCCTGCGTGGGGAACCTTGGGCTGCTGAGCAGGTGGTGGCCACGACTGAGCCGTGGCTGCAACCACCATCTCGGCGAAGGGAGCTGAGAGGCTGGCCAGGACCTCGGCCCCCGTCGTGCCCTCCGTGGGAATAGCCGCGGCCTTCTCCTCGACGCTCTGCAGCGTCCTGTCCTCAGTCGCTGAGGCGTGCAGCTTGGCGGCCTGCATCTTCGCCTCCTCGAGCTCCGTCATGCGCTGGGCGAGCGCGCGATCTGCTTCAGCTAACGCCTCCAACTCCGTGCGCGACTGCTCCAAGATCCGTTACCGCTTGGCTGCGGCGTCAGCAACTGCCACCGATGCCAGATCGACTGCCAAATGAAACTTCAACCCTCCGAGCCTGAAGCTCCAGCGGCTGTTTTTGCGGCGGGCCAGCTCGGCCATGTCTCGACTGCTCCTGGACAGCTGCTCCTTGACGATGACGTAGGACTCCGTGGCCATGGCTGCGTAGGCTGCGACATTGTCAGGACTGAGCGCGATGCTGATGACAGTGCCGCTTCTTCCATTCTGGCTGTGCCCTTTGGTGTCCCCGCCTCTGCTTTTGCCGCCTCCATTGGCCTTCTTGACCCATGGTGCCCCCTCTCCGATGCATCCACCGTCCAGGGGCCACTTGCCGCCAGGCCTGCGAAGTGCATCGTCTGCGGCTGGAATGTTGCGGTCCTCTTTCGCGCCCTTACAGCCAGCCTTAATACAGAGACCGAGGCGCCGTGGAGTAAAGCCACCGCACCGCGCGCACTGCCAGCACTTAGCTATGAGAGCCCAAATATCAACAGAAGAAGAATAATCCGCGGAACGATGTGGCTGCTTGCCGCGGGGCGGGCCACACCAAGCACAGCCCGGGGCGGACCAGGCGATAAATTGGAAAACTGTCGCGGACTAGCGGTATCCATGCGATTCCCAGGGGAATCAAACATCTGAAAGAGCATGTTCTACCGCTGCTGGCGGAAAGCCGGGGGGGGGCACTGGGGGTTCCCAACCCGTCACCCCCCCCTCCCCCTCGAAAACCGGGGGGGGTCACTACCGGCTCGAACACCCCCCCCAATCCATCATGGAAAGGAGGGGGGTCGCTACCGGTTCGAACCCCCCCCCCTCTCGAAAACCAGGGGGGGGGGTCACTACCAGTTCGAACCCCCCCAACCCCCCCCTCGCCGCCGGCAAACGATTCCCGCTCCTCGGGACAGTTGGACAGTGGTGGGGACACTGGGACAGTGGTGGGGAAGGTGGTGGTGGGAACAGTGGTGTAAGGACAGTAAGACAGTGGTGCGGTCAGTGGTGGGGAGGGTGGTGGTGGGGACAGCGGCGAGGGGACAGCGGGACAGTGGTGGGGTCAGTGGGACAATGGTGGGGGCCGTAGTGGTGGGGACAGTGGTGAAGGCAGTGGTGAGGAACGGTGGTGGGACAGTAGTACAGTGGGGAGGAGTGGTGGGGACAGCGGGGACAAGTGGGACAGTCGCGGGGGCAGTGGGGACAGTGGGACAGCTCAGCTGGACAGCGGCGGGGACAGTGGGGACAGTGGTGGGATCAGAGGGGACAATGGGATAAATATGGGGTCCGTGGGGGAAGTGGCGAGAGTGGGACCGTGTTCGGACAATGGTGGAAAGAGTAGGGACAGTGAGACACTGGTGGGGGCAGTGGTGGGGACAGCGGGAACGATGCTGGGAACAGTGGGGACGGTGGGACAATGGTGGGAACTGTGGGACAGTGGTGGGGACGGTGGTGGTGGGGACAGTGCTGTGGGGACAGTGGTGGTGTGGGGAGTGGTGGGAACAGGGGGACAGCTTAGTGGGACAGCTCAGTGGGACAGCGGCGGGGACAGTAGGGACAGTGGGACAGTGGTGGGAACAGTGGGGACAGTGGGACGGTGGTGGGGACCGTGGGGAAAGTAGAGAGAATGGGGCCGTGGTGAGAATAGTAGTGGGGACAGTGGGGACAGTGCGACAGTGGTGGGGGCACGGTGGGGACAGTGGGGACGGTGGTGGGAACAGTGGGGACAGTGGGACAATGGTGGAGACTGTGGGACAGTGGTGGGGACGGTGGTGGTGGGGACACAAGTGTGGGGACAGTGGGATTGTGGTGGGGACAGCGGGACAGTGGTGGTGACAGTGGTGGTGGGGACAGTGGTGAGGGCGGTGGCGAGGACGGTGGTGGGACAATGGGACAGAGATACAGTGGGGACAGCAGTGGGGACAGTGGTGGTAGGAACACTGGGACAGCTCAGTGGGACAGCGGCGGGGACGGTGGGACAGCGGGGACAGTGGGGACAGTGGTGGGGACCGTAGGGAAAGTGGGGAGAGTGGGACCGTGGTGAGAGCAGTGGTGGGGACAGTGGGGACAGTGCGACAGTAGTGGGGGCACTGGTGGGAACAGTGGGGACGTTGGTGGCAACAGTGGGGACAATGGTGCTGGGGACATCAGTGGGGGATGTGGTGCGGACGGTGGTGGGGACCCCGGAGTCGTTTGCCGGCGGTGAGTGTGGGGGGGGGTCGAACCAGTAGTGACCCCCCCACCATTTTCTGGAGGGTGGGGGGTTCGAACCGGTAGTGACCCCCCCTGGTTTTCCGGACGAGGGGGGGGGATTCGAACCAGTAGTGACCCCCCCCCCAATTTTCCGGAGGTGGGGGGTGGGGCAGGGGTTAGGGGGGGGGCTTGCCGGGGGAAGGGGAGCGGGGGGGGGATTTTCGAAGGGGGGGGGGAGGGGGACCCCCGGGCTCCGGAGGAAGAGGGGGGGAATTTCCCACAGTAAAGCGGCGGTAGATCACGCTCTCTCAAACATCTTGAGCCACGATGGCTACGGAACGCCACTGGGGCCTTCGGTGGAGCTCACTTTGAGGCCACGAACCGTGACAGGGGTGTCCCGTAATGAATTGGGGAGACGCTTGCGGACGGTGCCACGGATGCCCTCGGTGGAACTCCCTACGGCTGCAGCCCTACAGGGCCACGAACGGTGAGATGGGTGTGCCGTACTGGGTGGGGGAGATGCACGCGCACTGTGCCGCTGAAGCCTTCGGTGGAGCTCCCTATGGGGCCACGAACCGTGCGAAGGGTGCGCCATGATGGAGAAAGCGGGCTGCGCCACTGGGGCCTGCGTTGGAGCTCCCTATGGGGACACGAAACTTGCGAGGGGTGTGCCGAACTGGGCATGCGGAGGGCAGAGGACAGGAGGGGGAGAAGGAGGAGGCAAGGGAGGGGAGGGGCGGGAAGAAGGAGTGAGGGAGGGAAGGCGGGGCGATGTGTACTCAACATAGGGGCCCAACATCACAGGACGGCTGGGGACGCACGAAAAAAAACTCGCCGTGACGTTCTCACGACGCGAGGGGTTCTGGGATCCGTTCCATGGCTGATTCGTCGTCGCCGGCGCTGGGGCGTCCGCCTCGAGGCCCTGCGAGGGCCTTCGGAGGACAACAACGACAACAACACCACCGACAACAACACGAATAGCTAGACATGCGTACTTGAAGAAATAGATACATACACACATTCATAAGCAACATGGAAAAGGTAAATACAGACCTACATACATGCATAGTAGAAGTAAACATGTTATGAATGATAGAAGAATGATGATACTAATGAATGAACGAGTACATGAAATAATATCAAGAGTACGACAAGCATTAACAATACAACTGCTACGAATGATAATACTACAAGAGTCACAACAATAAAATCGTTCTGATGTTCTTGCGACGCGAGGGGGTCGGCGGCGTGGCCAGCGGGGCGTATCGTCGGCGGCGGCGGCGACAGGCCGTGGGGGGTGGGCCTGGGGATGGAGGAGCTCTGCCTCCGCCATGGCTCCGAGGAGGGCCGAGTCCTCCGACACCGTGACTCGGCAGCGAGCCCACCAGGGGGAAGTGAGAGTAAAATGGAACAAACAATGGCATAGACAAGCAAACTCGGAGGTCCTCGCGGAATCCTCGGATCGGCGCTGGGGCCTCTGGGTGGCGCCTTCGGCCCCGCCCCCTGGCGCGCTCCGCGCGCCATGGAGGAGGGATCCAGTGCCGATCTGAGAAATCCGCGCGGACCTAAGAGTTTGTGTGTTTATGCAAGTGTTAATTCCCTGAGAGAGGGGGCAGGCCTTGGATTGTTCTCGTGGAGGACCATGGAGGTACCCGGGAGCCTTTGGAGGGCGCACCGTCATTGAACACAGCAAATCAAACCTCACGCGCCCAGGGAGGCAATGAGAGGGGGCAGGCCTTGGAGCCGGCTGGGGGTCTGGGGTGGCCCAGCACTAGTTCCAGCGAGCAAGAATGAGGGGCAAGTTCGAGGTTCTGGGTTCGAGAAATGTGTTCTGCCTCTTCGGCCTCGGGGGGCCACTTTCGGACCGCGGGACTGTCAGAAACGGATCTGGGGTGAAAAACTTCCGCCCAGCACTATGCTTCGTAGCCCCATCGGGAGCTCCACCCAGAACCTCAGTGGCCGCAGCCGCATGCGTCTCCCCCACCCATTACAGGATACCCCTCGCGCCCTTCGTGGCCCAAATGGAGCTCCACCGAGGACCCCAGTGGCCGCGGCCGCAAGCGTCTCCCCATCCTACTACAGGACTACCCTCACGCGACTCGTGGCCCCGTAGGGAGCTCAACCGAAAGCGGCACACACAATCCAGCATTCACAACTGCGTATGTTTGGGTCCTTCGCCGGGGATATTTTCAATGAGGCTTCTGGCAACCGGCGCACAAAAGCAAACGCCTCTTACGTGACAGGACGTAGCGTCCTGACGCCGCAGTTTGTGCGGGCTGCCAGCCTGGCACACGGCGCGGAGAAGAGGGCACTTCGGCACGACCACACGCGGGAAACTGACGCGAGATGTCCGACTAGATGACTTGCTGCAATCCCGGAGTGTTTCTTCGATTTCGGCCCCGGTGGTCCCTTGTCATACCCCGGGCAAGGGGTCGGGACCTCTGGGCAAGGGGTCAGGACCTCTGGGGCGGCGTGTGGAAAAATGAACCAGGAGAAATACCCAACCATTTGCCGCTGTGAGGAACGCAATTGTGAGTATGTATTGTCATCGGTGGAGCTTCCCATGTGGCAACGAAACGTGGGGTGCGCTGACAAGGGTGTGGCGTGCACGAGCGAACGCAGCCTCTGGGGCCTGCGGTGGAGCTCCCCATGGAGCCACGAAACGTGTGAGGGATGTGCCGACATGGGCGCGCGCATGCGTTCGCTGCGGTGGGGCTTGCCCATGGGGCCACGAAGCGTCTGAGGAGTGTGGCGAAATCATTGCGACGGGCGCATGCGAGCGCAGCCACTGAGGCGTTCGGTGGATCTACTTGTGTGGCCACGAAAACGTATGATGGGTGTGCCGAAATGAATGCGGCGAGCGCATGCGAGCGCAGTCACTGGGGCCCTCGGTGGATCTCCCTATATGGAGCCACGAAGCGTGCGAGGGGTGTGCCGACATGGGTGCGGCGGGAGCAGGCGAGCGCAGCTAGGAGCTCCCGATGGGGCCACGAAGCGTGTGAGGGGTCTTTCGAAATTGGTGCGGCGGGTGCATGCAACCTCTGGGGCCTTCGTTGGAGCTCCCGATGGGGTCACGAAGCGTGTGAGGGTTGTGCCGACATGAATGCCACGGGCACATGCGAGCGCAGCCACTGGGGCCTCCCGTGGAGCTCCCAATGTGGCCACGAAACGTGTGAGGGGTGCCCGATTTGGGTGCGGTGGGCGCGTGCGAGCGCAATCATTGGGGCGGCCGGTGGAGCTCCCTACGGGGCCACGAAACGTTAAGGGGTGTGCTAACATTGTTGACTGGTGCGGAGGGATGGGTGCGGCGGGCGCATGCGAGCGTAGCCTCTGGGGCCTTCGGTGGAGTTCTCGGGTCGGGCGAAAGGGGGGGACAGCAAATGGGGGGTTTGAGAATCAGCTCACGCAGCTGATTTTCCCGGCGCCTCCCGGCGCCGGAGGCGGCCATGTATCGAGGAATGGGCCCCTCGGTGAGGCCGAAACCAGCTGCATGCAGCAGATTTCGTAACCCCCCCTTTCCCAAACCCCCCTTTCGCCCGGCCCGAGAGTTCTTATGGAACCACGAAGCGTGCGCGAGGTGTGCCGAAATGGGTGCGGCGGGCGCATACGAGCGCAGCCGACATGTGAATACGGCAGGCGCATGCGAGCGCAGTCACTGGGGCCCTCGGTGGAGCTCCCTATATGGAGCCACGAAGCGTGCGAGGGGTGTGCCGACATGGGTGCGGCGGGAGCAGGCGAGCGCAGCCGCTGAGGCCTTCGGTGGAGCTCCTAATGGGGCCACAAAACATGTTATGGGTTTGCCGACATGAGTGCGGCGGGCGCCTGCGAGCGCAGCCACCGAGCCCTGCGTCCGAGCTCCCTATACTCTCACGACGCGTGAGAGGGGAGTGCCGAACTAGGTGCGGCGGGCGCATGCGAGCGCAGCCGCTGGGGCCTTCGGTGGAGCTCCCTATGGGACCACGGAACGTGTGAGGGGTGTGCCGACATGGAGCTCTTTATGAGACCACGAACGGTGTGAGGCGTGTGCCGAGATGGGTTCGACGGGCGCATGCGAGCGCAGCCACTGTGGCCACGAAGCATGTGAGGGGTGCGCCGATTTGGGAGCGGCGGGCGCGTGCGAGCGCAGTCACTGGGGCCTTCGGTGGAGCTCCGACAGAATGGGGCCACGAATCGTGTGAGGCGTGTGCCGAAATCGTTGAGTGGTGCGGAAATGGGTGCAGCGGGCGCATGCGAGCGTAGCCACTGGGGCCTTCGGTGGAGCTCCCCTATGGGGCCATGTCACGAAACGTGCGAGAGGTGTGCCGGCATGGGTGTGGCGGGCTCATGCGAGCGCAGCAACCGCGGGGCCTTCCGTGGAGCTCCCTATGGGGCCACGAAACGTGGGAGGGGTGTGCCGAAACGGGTGCGTCGGGCGCGTGCCAGCGCAGCCACTGACCTTCGGTGGCGCCCCCTGTGGGGCCACGGAACGTACGAGGGGTGTGCCAGAGCAGAGACACGCGCCTGGCAGAGGCGAGGGAGGAGAGGAGGGCCGGGGGGCGCCGGCTCTTCAAAATGAGGACCCAGCACCACATGATTGTTGGAAGACATGTCGGCGGATTTCTGGGAATGCCGCCGAAATTTGTCGTGGGAATCTTGGCAATTCTTCGGCCTCCTGGAAAGCTCTCGCTGCCACGGCTGGGATTCCCCTCAAAATCTGCTGCTCGAGACGCGCCCATGGAGGAGGTCTGGAGCCCGATTCAAGCCCAGACCACTGGCGGCTCTCATATACAGGCCTCTAGATGGGGACCGAGTAGAGGGGGTTGGAGGATTGCACCGCGTCGCCGATACATCGGCGCTGTCGGCGATACATCGGCGCATCGCCGACGCATCGGCGCTGCGGCGCGATCCTCCGACCCCACCTGCTCGTGCCCCACCTGGGCGGCCCGGATGGACACACACGGTGCCGCTCACAGCTTCCAGCCGCTGGGCTCGGTACACGGGCCACCCGAAAGCGACCCGAGGGGCCGAGCCGGCCCACGGGAACGAGGGCCCGAGGCCGAACAGGAGCCACGGCCTCCCCATCCGAGATCCGACGCCGCACGGAGCACCGCACGGCACCGGGGCACCGGAGCCCTGGAGCCCTCGGAGGACGAGCCCCAGGCATGCGACGCCCTGATGTTTGCAGGACGGTGCCCCCGGAAGGCCAGACCCTTTCCCCGGGCCGGCTTTTCATCCTGCATCTGTTTGCTGACGGTCCCGAGGCCCGGCGAGGGCCCCTCGAGGCCGAAGAAATTGGCCAAAAACCTCCCGTCCTGCTTTGCTTGCGACGCGATCAGGTCTGGGCCGAGCACCCCGGCAGCACCTCTCGAGCCGAGCCCGAGAGGGCCCTCGGGGCGCCCACCGCCGGGCGGGGGCCCCCAGCGTGCCTAGGAGGTCCGCGGGGTGCACGGGCCGCCTCGGGGCTGGAGGTCCCGTCGCGACCGGCGCGCTCCAGGGGGAGAGGGCGGGCAGCCCCGGAACACCGACGAGGCCCCCAGCCGCTGGGGAAGCCTCCCCCGAGCCTCCTGCGAAGCCGCAGAGGGCCTCTCGGAGGGCTGGAGGGCGTCTGAGAAGCCCCCCCCCCCGCCTCGAGTCCTGACCCATGGGCCCCCGACGGCAGGCTTTTTCCTCACGCGGGCCCCCAGAGGTCTCGACCCGTTCCTCGGGGCCGGCTCGTCATCCCGAGCAGCTGTCCCCGAGGCCGAGTGAAAGGCCCCAGGAGGCCGAAGTGGACGGAAAACCATCCGTCGAGATTTTGTTCACGACGCGAGGCGATCTGGGGTGAAGGCCTGTCCCCTCTCGCTTCCACCCCCGGCGCGCCGCCGAACCGGAGCCGCGCGGTGCATCCGCCGCCGAGATGTGCTCTGGCGAGCCCGAGGCTGGCAAGCCGCGGCAGCAGGCCCTACATGACTCGGCACTGCTGAAGCTTCTGCGCGCGCTCGACGTGCTCCTCCAATCCTACAGTCGACCCGTGTCATGAGGACCCACGATAAGGACGCACGGACCTTGGAAGGCCGTGTTGACACTTCGCGGGCGGGGCGCGGCCAGCAAAAGCGGCCAAGGATGGACCGAGGAGGCAAGGGTACCCGTGGGAAGTTTGCCCATCCCTACTATGCGAATTGACCGAAACTCAGTCCCTCCTCCCGCACCCTCAAGCATGCGACGCCTTGATTTCTTGGAGGCCCCGACCCATTCCCCGGGGCCGGCTCTTCCTCCCGAGAGCCGCTTTGCGGACGGTCCCCCGGGCCGACGACAGGGCCCACGGAGGCCGAAACACGGCGGAACAAGACCTGCGTCCTGGTGTTTTTTGCTTTA